TATGTAATTGCAGCAGTATTTGACTATATTCTGCGCAGTGAGAAAAGCTGAAGTCATTTTCAAAGACCACCATTCCTTATTTCTCTTCAGTCGATTCAAGTTTCTAAGCTTCCTAAATCTCTGAATTCTAGCTAATGAAAAGAAAATAAGATTCCACCAAGTCTCCTATCTACCTACTCTAGGACTTTTGTGAAGATCAAATGAGATGAGGCACAGGAAAAGGCTTCACAGACATTTGGCTAAAATGTGAAATGTTTGCACCTGCCTATAAAGCAGGTCGTATTCCTGGGCTGAAGAAACTGCAAGGAGGCTAGTCGCTAGGGAGAGGAATCTGGCTGTTGCTACATGACGTCGTTACCTGGATGGTCGGACACTTAGCATATTAGCCTTTTATATATAATAGATATGCATTACCTATGGACATAGACAGTAGGGTGGTGAAGGCCTGGGGCAGGGCGGGAACTGCATGGAGTGGAGTAGTGTGGGGGAAAAGAGGGACATCTGTAATACTTTCAACAATATTTTTTTTAAAAAAGAATGTTACAGGCCTGTGGTGGTCAGTACCATGCCAGGGCTGAAGGTGGTGGCAGTGTCTCCTCTCAGGAAACATCAGATGACAAACAAAATGGGTACAAGGGGAATCTGTGCATGGTGATGAAATACCACCTACTGGAAACTGATCATTGTCTCACTAATAGAAAGATGTAGAAAGCTGGTCAATCTTGAAGCTTTGAAAGGTCAAAGCCAACCACTCCCTATCTAATTGAGACAATGGTATCTGAGGCAACTTCCCCATCAAATAATCATGTAAATCCTTACTGATATGATAATTTGCCTATTACCCGCCTAAGGGATATGGGTGTATCCCATAGTCTCAATAAAAGGGATAGCAAGGCCAGAGCCTAGTGGTAGTCCTCTCCCTAGAAGTGGGCTCTTGCCTGGCCCCCAATTTCCCAAATTACATTTTTTCTAGTCTCTTTTCATTTGTGTGTGGCCTTCTCCAGAACCCGAACCCTGGACCACGTGGGACATGAAAGGGATTCCCACAACCACCCAGTGTGGGGTTTGACCCCACAACAGTAGGACCTAAATTACCTCTGCATCTCAGAACCAAGGACTGACACTGTCCAGGAAGATAGCCTTGGAAAGGTAAGGAACATTCAGCAGAAATCTGGAAATGCATTCCAGGTGAAGGAAGGCTAAGATCACAGTCCAGGGTGGAGGCCTCCCTGCTGGTGTCTGGTGACCTTGCAGCCTATTCACCTATAGAGATTTTCATAGGTGGATGTCAGAGGGAAAAGGTGACTTTCGAGGCCATTCCACTAATCTGCCTCCGGGTAGGAAAGACCTACCCCACTTCCCGATTCCCAGGGAGCCTCCAGGTGCCTGACCATTATGTAGCCGCCCTGGGGAAGCAAGTTACCCTCGTGCTGGGGTGGGCGTTCTTGTTTTGTATTAGCTGATGTGGTTCATGCTGCTACCTGTACAGTGAAGGCATTTCTGCCATCCTGGCCACAGTGGACTGAGTCCATGTCCAAGCACACCATTGGACAGAGCCATACTGAGGCCGTGAAACAACCCAATCACACCCTCTTTACAAGGAAGCAGGGAGGCTGGTGAACAGGCGGAAGTGAGTCACTTCCACCTGTATCCTGGGACCCCCTGGTGCTGGTGCTATATGAAGCTAGCTAACACCCCCGTCTGGAAAATTGGGGACTCAGAGGAACTGGTGGGCTGACTAGATGACACCCCACCTTGCACATAGCCTGGCACTCACCCCCACTTCATGACTAAATGTTACTCTTCCCCAGCACTCCTTAGAGATGGCAATTCTGACCCCAAGACTCAGGGCAGGGCATATGGGCAGGGTGAGGCCTGCGGACGGGTTCCGGGGAAGGTGGGGGGAATGGCCTCCCATTCCCATGGCTTCTCTAATCCCCATGCGCACCCGCTCCAGACAGCTTCTGAATCTGCGTGAGCTGCGGGTCCAGCCCGAGCCCTGGCAGGCAGACGGAATCCCAGAGCTCCTGGAGCCCGGCCTGAGACAGGGGACGTTGCCCAGGGCCTGGCCAGACCCAAGTTAGGGCAGATTCTTCTGTTCCTTATCATCTTTGCTGGAAAAGCCTGTCTTGATTTGCAAAGCCCTTTACAGCGTTTGCTCTGCTCAGTACCCCAGATACCCTTTGGGAAATGAGGAAACAAAACTTGGGTTATCTGTGGGGTCCAAGGCCAAAGCAGACTGAGGACCAGAAGGCCTGCGCGGACCCTCAGCCGAGGCTCTTCCCATGATCACATTGCTCCTAAAGGGATGCACCACTGGCCGCAGCTCAGCACCGTTAACATTAAGTAAGGTCTCCAGGGAGTGACAAGCACGGACAGTTGCAATCTCCAATCAGGGAACCTCACCCCAATCTTAGAGTCGAATGAGGGGCACTCAGAAGCAGCAGCATCTGCAGCTACCATGAAATGCTACACGTGGTCCCTCAGTCTGTTTCCATATCTTGAGCCTGTAGCAAGTCACACAGCTTGGGTGTGTGTGTGTGGGGGGGTGGGGGGGTACCAGATTACAGCATATGCTGAACTTGGGGGTTGTGAACCCTCTGAAATTCCTGCATTTGTGTGGGAAGAGTTTTTCATGACCTCAACAAGCTCAAGGACTTGAGGTTAAGATCACAGGGATTAAAATCTCCATCTGACCTCCAACCGCGGGGCCAGCACATACACAAACGCTGCAGTCAAACAGAGAAGGCTATCACACACAGGAGGAAGTGCCGTGCAAATGTGGAGGCTTGTGCTGTCCTGCTCTTCCGCCCTGCTCGCTCCTCAAGGCCCACGATGCTTCAACAACATCACGTGGGACGGAGCACCCTGAGCTCTGCTGTCTGGCCCCAGAGGCCCTGGTGTTTCTGTCTCAGCCACTCACTGCTCGCCTCCTTTCTGAACATCACCACTTCCAGGTTGGAGAAGGAGACCAGAATGAGAAACACAATTTGGGAGAAAGGGCCACTTCGGCACACAGCACAGACCCAGCTCAACATTTCTTTAGACAGCCTCAGGGTCCTGGAAAAACTGCCTCCCTAATCCTGACAGACATATGGACCCTGTTGCTCCCCTCCCACCACCGCCTGGTCCTCAGCTATACCCTCCAGGCAACAGGGCAGCTCTCCGGCCCCCCAGGCACACCCATCGCTGGCTCGCAGAGGCCCACCGACCCTACCCACAGCTAAGGTTAAGGGGGTTGACCTGCCAAGAGCTGCGGGCAAGTCCTTCCACTGTCCTCACAAAAAAGGGGAGTCTGATTAACCCCATCCTGCCCCCATCAGCTCTCCGAGGCCCGCCACTCAGAAGGGTGTCAGGACACCGACAAGACCAACATTTCTCAAAAAATACTCCCTGTCTCAAGGACCCTGTGGGGCCACAGGGACTTCTGTCCTCCGAAAGCCAGGGAGAAGGTCCACTTCAGGACGTTGGATCCTACTCAGCCTCAGAGGGACCCCAGGTGCCTGACCCGTGATGGGCTCTCAAGAATGCTGACTTCACTCTGTTCTTTCCCCTCCAAGAAGGCTGTGTGCACCCCTCCCGTCAGCCCCTCCACTCTCCTGCTTCCCAGAAGCAGGCACCGCAGTGCTGGGGACAGCCTGGGATCAGGAGTCTTCTTGCTATCTGGTGTGCAAATGGGATGTGATGGTCTGGAAAATCCATTATTCTGTTGGAAAACAAGAGTTTCCACAAAGGCCTTGCATTGGTTTTCAATTGTTGAGACCAATAAATACACACAGTTGAAGTTAGTGATGGGCAATGTCATCTTTCTTTGATGAATCGATTCAGAAAAGGCTTAGAGCATCCTGGGGCATCTCAGGCCTCATTCTGTTTGGAAGAGTGAGGCCAAGAGCGGACCTCGTCCCTCCCTAGCCCCTGGGTCTCTGCTTCTCTCTCCCAGCGCTGGGCACACCTTGGGAACACACACTCCGGGGTTCCAGTGTGTCAGGTATAAGGGGGGAGGGGTCTCCACAGAATCATCAGGGATGCACTTCCGAGTTGGTTGTAGAAACTCCTCCTAGGAAGGTGCCCATACATCACATCCTATTTCATCGGCGATGGGGAAACTTCAGAAAGGCCTCCCGAGACCTCCCTGTCCCATCGGCATGGACACCACCACTAGGAGGATCAATCTAGCAAGAATATGAAGCCCGAACTCGCCCCCAAAGCTGAGTGAAGACACCCTCCTGCCGCTCCCACTCAACAAATCCATGGACCAGGCCAGCCGGCTCTCAGAAGGAAGGAAGGAAAAGGAGTGGAAGAGAGGAGGGTGGTTGAGGGGGGGCGGAAAGGGATGGCCCTCAGGACAGCCCTTAAGTGGAGGGGACGCCAGACCGGCAGTCAGTCGCTAACCAGGGGGACAGGGACAGGCAGAGGGCAGAGCGCTGGCAGCTCCCAGGAAACCGATCCAACCCCCTCTCCCCTCCACGGCTCAGCGGGGGCTGCCGGCTGAGCACCTGCCCAAGTTATTCAGCGGGAGGTAAACACCGTCTCCCACCTGAGGCGCAATACAGCATGCCTCCAGGTGGGCAGCCACACGGCCTGGCATCTCACCAGCCCGGGGCTGCGCCCTTGGATTCCCAGAGGAGCTGGCAGTTAAGCATTCCTTGAGGACCTTGGAGGGGGACTGCCCGTGGGTGAAGAGGGAAAAAAGCGCCTTTGGCCAACCCAGGCCACCCTCCCCGCACCCCTTCCCACCAGCCTTCCAGGGGACCAGCCTCCCAGCCAGGGGAGGAGAGAAGCGGGGACATTACTTCAACAGGTCCCCCCGCAGCCCAGCCTCGCCCGGCCATCCTTCCTCCGCCCGGTCCGGAGGCCTCAAATTCCGCGGGAGCCGGCGCTCACCTGCTGCCCCCCGGGCTCCGTACCCGCGGGAGGGGGCCCAGGGCGGCGCCCCTGGACGCTGCCCGGCCTCCCGGGAGGGCGGGGCGCGCCCGCAGCTGCCCCGGCCGCGCGCTCACCTGGCGCAGGTGCTGCAGCAGCGACCCGGCCTCGTCCCGCCGGCCCTGGCGCACCATCCGCAGCAGCTCCCGGGCCATGCCCACGCGCCGGTGGTAGGGGGGCGGCCCCGCCTTGTCCCCGGCGCGCGGCAGCAGCGACGCCCAGAAGTCGGGCCGCTCGCGGCGAGCGGCGGGCGCCGCGCCGGGGGCCCTGTCCGCCAGGCCGCCCTTGGTCTGCCGGGTGCCCATCCCGCCGCGCCGCGCCGCCGCCCGCCTCCCGGGCTGCAACTTTGGGGAAACTGTTGCGCGCGGGCGGGGCGGGGCGGGCGGGGCGGCGGCGGCCCGCGCTGCCCTCGCTCCGCCCTCCGCGCTCCCGGGCGCGCTCCCCGGCGCCCGCGCCCCCGCCCCGGCCGCCCCGGGCGCGGCTCCGCTCCCGCCCCGCGCCCGCGCCCGCGCCCGCGCCGCCGCGCCGCCCTCCGCCTCCCCGCTCCCCGCCTCCTCCCTCGCTCCCTCTGCTCCCTCCCCCGGGCTCCGGCTGGGGGCGGGCGGCTGCCCCCGCGGCGTCGGCCCGGCACCCGGCCCCTTGCGGGCACCGCGCCGCGCCTCCCGGGGCGCAATGCGGGGAGGCTGTCAGCCGGGCAGGCCCCGGGAGCCATGGCTCTCGGTCCCACCGGATTTCCCGGGTTTTTCCTCCCCGGGGCGCCGGGGAGGCCCCGGGAGCCGGTGCGGGTGCCCTGCCGCAGGGGAAAGTTGGAGCGCAGAGCGGTCCCCAGCCAGGCTTCGGGCTGATTTTGATGCACACTCCTTTTGGAAGGGGGCAGAAACAGAAGGCTGGGGACCAGCTAGAATGTGGGAAACAGGCACCATGCTCTGCTGCCCGTGACAGTTTTGTTCTGACAAAGGAGGCACATTCCGCCCCGGCTGGAGTGCCCTGGAGCGGCAGCCTCCTCCCCGTTGGAGCTGCCTGCTCTCCGGAAACACGAACAGCTGTGCTGCGGAACCAGCCTCCCCAGCCCTGCTGCGTCCCCGCAGGCCTTGCAGACCGCCAGCCTCTCACCTGTGAACTGTCCTCTGGCTCTTCCCCTGGAACCCCAGCCCTTGCACATCACTCAGCCCTTTGAAGACCCCTAGTCCTTCTGCCTGTCTGTGCACAGCCCTTTGCTAAATGAGCAGCTGGCCGCAGAGCAGACGTCTGTGGCTGCCCTCTGCCTCCCACTGCGGCGACAGTGGAGTAAACGCTCCGGTATGATTCAGCCCTGTCTCTGCTCCATTGACAGGCAGCACGGACCCCTTGTTTGTCCGGTTACACTTTGACACCTGCCTGTTGGTGGTGGTGGTGGTGGGTGAATGGACCTAGAAATTGTGCAAGGTTGTGTGTGTGTGTGTCTTTTTCTGGAGAGTTTATCTCTTGCTTTCATCAGTCTCTCATTTTTCATCTCATGACACATAAACTAATTACTAAAATTTTGCAGCACACCAAAAAAAGATATTTTTTGCCAATCTGACAAAAAGGGGAAAAAACGGTATACTTTTGATTCATTCACACGGTTTGGCTATTGTTGTGTTGACTGTTGTCGGTTTTTTTTTTTTTTTTTTTTTTTTCATTTGACAATCTAAAGGAAAAGAAGTCAGTGGCCCTGATTAAGAGTCAGCTATTGCACGTTATAAAAATTCTTGCGGCACACCAGTGTGCCCGCTGTGGCAAGCCGCAGGTCTAGACCATCAAGGTATAAAGAACTGCTGCCTTTTGTTATCATTCTCACACCTCTGGAGAGGGTCCTGGGAACGGAGAACAGAACAGAACAAATCTCCGTACGAAAAAGCAGAGGCACTGCACACCCCTGCTGGCCCCTCCCTCCCTGGCCGCCTCTGCCAGGCTGAGTCCCTATCACCAGATCTCCTGAAGTCTGGAACAGGGCCCTGCCAGAGAGAAGGCCAAGTAAGACACCTGGAGGACCTTCCCTATCGCAGACCACCTGGCAGGCTGGCATGGCTGTCCTGGTCGCAGCCACAGGTGTGTGCTTGCTTTTGGCCCAGGCCCTAGGCTCTGTTTGGGGAGGAAAGGACAGTGTGGGCTACAGGGGCAGGAGAGCAGAGCCCAAATCAGAGAGCTGGAGCCCACCATGTGCTGACAGCGAATTCCTCTGTCCCAGTGGGATAAGCACACTGCCCAGGAGACTCAGATACAGAACTCCAAGCAGAGTACAGGTGCTCCCGAAGGACAGCTCCTTTTCCTACGCAGGCAGCAATCACCGCCTTCCCCAAGTGTTTTCTCAGGTGTTTTCTCTGTGGATCTTGAGTATCCGAGGGGTGAGGTTTGTGTCTCCCCCAGCAGGCTCTTTCATCCCTTTGATGCCCACTTCCAAATGCCCATCTCTGCTGGCAGAGAACGTTCAGTCTGCCTGCCAACTGCTCACAGGGCTTAGGGCAGCACCTTCCTGACTTGCCTAGACCCTTTGTGTGTGGAACATCCCTGCTGGCAGCTCCAGAGAACCCAGGCTGGAAAACACTTTGGTGCCTCTCATCTCTGGCTGCAGGCCTACCAGGCAAAGTGCTTACATGGAAACCTGCTGGACAGGCCCCTCCCTAGGGATGGCCCAGGCTAGCAGGTAGGCCTGCTTGAGAGTGTGTGGCTGGGGCATCCCAGACCCTCACCGGGATCTGAATGTCATCCCTTTCCTCTTCTTTGAAGGCCTAATTTTATCCTCTTCAAATTGCTTTTAATTTCCCAACTTTTCCCTCTTTAATGGCTTATTCTCCTCACTCTCTTCCACCTACTTAGAAAGAATGCTTTCATTTTCCCATTCCCTTTGCTTACCAATATGAGCTCTTTCCTTTTTGCTAAGCTTTTTGGAAATCCTTATATTATCACACCTTTGTTACCTCCATTCACTCCTCATGCTTCATACTTTCCTAAGATCTCTCAAACAAGCAGCATCTGGCCTCAGTGAATCCCGTAGCTAAGTGTCCCCAGGCCCAGCACTAGCAGCAGCCCACAGTTCACAGCTTGGCCTTGCCCAGGCAACTCCAAGCCCATTCATTAGCATATTGCTTTATAGCTTATGTGTGGTGGCTCCAGGCAGAACAAAAGTTGTGGCTGACCTTGGCCTGCACCTCCTGGGAAGCTCCAGAGTCAGCACACCCAGTGGACAGCTTCAGAGCACATCGAAGGACCACCACCCAACCACCTCCACAAGCAACACACTCAAGGGTTCGACTCATTGGGTACCAGAACCCTGCTGAATAAGTACTGCTCTGTGCAGTGGGTCCCTGCATGGCTGATCCTCCAAGGTGGTTGGAGGTTGGTGGACAGTGCTCACAGCCTGTCCTTGTAGCTGATCAGCCTGGGTAAATCCCTCCTAATCAAAACTCAAATACAATAGGAGAGTGTACAGCTTACAAGGGGAGGTGGGGGAATTCCTTCCAGTGTCCAGCTAGGGTGATCGGGGAGGCTGTGCCACTGGACACTACAGGACACTCATTACATTAGGCCATGCTACAAAGCCTAGGAGACATAGCAGCTGTACCTAAACATAAACACAAACACAGGGAGGTGACTAAATGGAGGAGACAAAGAAACATATCCTAAACGAAAGAACAGAACAAAACTCCAGAAAAACACACACCTTTAAACAAAATGGAGACAAGCAATCTACTAGATGCAGAGTTCAAAACTCTGGTTGTAAGGATGCTCAAGGAACTTAGGGAGGATAAAAACTAAGCAAAAAATGAACCAGAAATGAAATGAAGGCTACACTAACTGAAAGAAAGAATAACTGAAAGAAAGAAAGAAAGAAAGAAAGAAAGAAAGAAAGAAAGAAAGAAAGAATAATGCACAGCAGAATAGATGAAGCTGTGAATCAAATCAGTGATTTGGAATATAAGGAAGCAAAAACACAACAACACACAAAACAGAACAAAACAACAATACCCAATCAGAACAGCAAAAAGAAAAAAGAATTTTAAAAAATGAGGATAGTGTAAGGAGCCTCTGGGACAAGTGTGCCAACATTCACATCTTGGAGGTGCTGGAAGGAGAAGAGAGAGAGAGAGCAAGAAATTGAAAACTTGTTTGAAAAAACAATGACACAAAAGTTCCCTAACTTGCTGAAGGAAACAGACCTATAAGTCCAGAGAGTTCCAAACAAGATGAATCCAAACAGGCCCACATCAAGACACGTCATAATTAAATGCCAAGGCTAAAGACAAATAGAGAATCTTAAAAACAGCAAGAGAAAAGCAATTAGTAACCTAGAAGGAAGCTCACAGAGACTGTCAGCTGATTTCTCAACAGACACTATGCAGGCTAGAAGGGAGTGGCAAGAAATATCCAAAGTGATGAAAAGCAAGGACCTACAACCAAGATTACTCTACCCAGCAAAGCTATCATTTAGAATAAATGAATATATAAAGACCTTCCCAGAAAATAAAAAACTAAAGGAGTTCACCACCACCAAACCAGTATTATATGAAATGTTAAAGAGTATTCTTTAAGAAGAAAAGAAGACACAGCAGCTGTACCTAATCCTGCTGGATGGATGCAGGATTTATTGGGGTGATCACATATTAATTTATATAATATCTGTCCTCTGGGGTGTACAAAAAATATAATAATTTAAAAAACAACCCAAATGCTGAGGGCCACCCTTAGTAAATCAGAGGTATTTGCATTTCTAGTGAATTTCCAGGGATCCTGAAGTTGCCATTGGGTCTGTCTAGGGACCACAGTTTGAGGAGATCTGGAAGAGCTGGGGCTTAGGGAGGAAGGGAGCAACAGTTTTCTCTCTTGTGGGTTCATTAAGATTGCAAAGGGGACAGAACCATTTCTGGACTCAGCAGAAGTTAGAGTTCCACTGAAAGAACTGACCCTGAGCCTGGCTGGCATGTTCAGTGGTTGAGTGTTGACCTATGAATCAGGAGGTAACGGTTCTATTCCCAGCCAGAGCACATGCCTGGGTTGTGGGCTTGTCTCACAGTGTGGGGTGTATAGGAGGCAGCCAATCAATGATTCTCTCTCATCATTAATGTTTCTATTTCTTTCTCCCTCTCTGAAATCAATAAAATAAAAAGAACTGACCCTGAGGGAACACTGAAAACACACACACACACACACACACACACACACACACACACACACACACGGGGCAGGGGGGCTGTGACTCTTACTAGGAGGCCCATTAGCCTACTCTCTCAGCAGCTCCTCCGACACTTGGTGCCTCCTCTCAGCTACCAGGTAAAATGTCAGGGTC